TTGGGTATATAGGCTGTTTGAGGAAAGACTTCTGTGAGAAAAGTTTAATACAGCATTTTCTGATTAAGATATAAATGTTGATTGGCTGTGAGACAGGTGCTTTCTCAGTTCTCACTGAGTTTTAAAATACATAAAGCTCAAGCTGATCGATTTGAAACATTTAATTGTATAATGCTTAGTATATAAGATAGTTGAGTTACATCAACAATGAACAGAGAGCAGTTTTCTTTATTCTCTCCTATTCCTCGTTTAGTCATTAAACAGGTTTTCTAGTYGGAAGCAGTAGGGTAAATTTAAGATTAAGTTAGGAAGTTGAGAATGATTAATTTAGGAAATAGGTATTTTAGACGGTCCAAGGATGTTTCAGAATTTATGTTCTTGGCAAATRTTGAAGCCATCAGCATGCTTCATCTAGTCTAGGGTGCCGTTCAACTGATATCCTCCTGAGTGCTCATACTCTCAGGACCTGTCATAAATACACTTTAATGTATAGATTTATTTTTTTTTCTGAAAGCGTTTTTCCAATATTATGTTGTAGACATAAAAAGAAACCTATAACAGTATTCTTGACCCCAATAATTTGTTGGAAAGTTACCATTTATATATGAAACTGTATTTTGATTGCTTTCCAATTATTGCATGCTCTGGATGGACAGGAAGGGGAGAGGTTATTATTGATGAATTTAGCCAGGAAAGTTTTATGCAGGTGGCAAGAGTTTAGATAGCCGACATAATTTTCCAAAGTATCTGCCTATCCTTTTTGTAGTATTTCCTGAATTCTAGAGTAAGAGCTGGCATGTTTCTCCTCATAGAGCAAATAGACTGTGGGAATGTATTGTTAAACTCATTAGTTCATTTAACGAACATCTGTTGAAAATCCACTGTGTTCTAAGTATTGTTTTTGGAATATGGCTCACGCTAAATCAAGCTCCTGTCATTTAACACACTTAGGGTCAAAATCTGTAATGGAAGGACCAACTGTCAGTCTGGATTCCCAAAATTGGATAGTAAAGAGCCTTATTTATTCATATTAATAAAATATGGTGCATCACAGAAAATTGCTTATCCTTGACTGTTAGAAATTTGTGTCTTATAAAAAAATACTGTCAGTTTTCCTAACTGTCTTAGAAGGAATACCTCAAGCATTCACACACATACCCAGTAGCTGTTCCATGTAAAGCATTATGATAGTTGCTAGGGGAGTTATTCCGTTTGTTTCATGCCTAAGGTCTGGTGTGGAATATATTCCCTGAAATTCTCTTGTTTTTTTTAAGGCATTTGTGGGTCCTGTGCACCAGACATGCTAACACTGGCCTCTTGTCTTAGTGAGTTGTTGGGTTATACTGGACAGGTTGGATCTGCCTGCCTTCTGGTAGTTTCCTATTATACTATGAAGGCAGGGAAGTGACTGGGGATCCCCATCAGCCTGTTCTACTAAAATTCAGTTTACATGGTAACACTTTGAATCTTTCATGCCTACTATGTGGACTGTTAATTTCTGTTATGTTGTCCCTAGTAAACTATTAATATAGTACTTTGAAATCATTGTAAAAAATATTTTAGAGAAATATTGTTACTAATTCATGGGAGAATATTTAGGGTTCCTGGCTATGTTATTTTCTTATACAAAAAATGATGAACACGAATGTCTAGATTTTGACTTTTATAGAACTGAGGCTATAATATTTAAAAAGAATAATCAWTTTTTTTGATGTCGTTTCTCAGAAGAACCAACAAAAGAAAAAGAGGGACTATAATTGTCAAATTGGGTCCAGTTCCAAAAATCTGCTGGAGGGAGAGTAGTTTTTTTGTTGTGGGGAACCAGACATTCAATTGCTTTTGCATGTTAAAATTTTTCTCCTCAGACATTTCCATTATAATCAACTAATATCTTACTGAGGCTATAAATAGTATTTATATGGGAAACAGACCAGAAAACCATTCAAGTAAAGTAGAAAACAACATCATTCGTTTTTGGACAAGGAGGGAGAAGAGCAAAATGAGAACCTGAGTGTCTTTGCTTATTACAAAAACCTGATTTAAGGCAAGTCCATAATTTATTCTTGGAGTAGGAAGTTTCTTGGGGAGGCCAGTGGACTTGGGGAACTGTCACAGGCATGACCCTGCAGCCAGGGCAGCAGTGCCTGGGACTGCATTGTCCAGTCCTAATTTTCTGGATTGACCAAGTGGGAGGTTCTAGTATGTCCCTGCCAATCCAAAATTGAGTTATATTTTTATTCCAAAATAGCTGTCAACAGACTTCTATGTGCTGTACATTATTTAACACTTTGGGATATTTTATCATATGTCATCTACTCCCTCACAGATCTTAAGCTACAGAGTGCAAAAAAATATTTTTTTTTGTTTAAAAAGTTATAAATTTTATTAGGTTTTATAAAAACTAGCAGTCTCCTATATTGTTACTCCTAGTCCCTACTGCTTTTTAAAATTTTCCAGAAAGACCACTTTGAACTTTGTCATTTCTGTTATTTCCAATTCCATGATTATCCTTGCTGCCTCTTGAGTTTTCTTTTCCAGTTTTGGATGCCATCCTATTGTCACACATGTCTCAACTTTACACTACCTTTTCTTTTTCTTTCCCTCCATTCTCTCAATTAAGATAATTTTGCTAAAATTCATTTTTAGTTTTTATATTATAGTAATTTCATCCCTGTTACTTAGTACTCAGCTACTTAGTTTATTATGATTGTTTYAATTGTCTATATTTGTTTTCCTGGGAGTTAATAAAAGATGTTGAATTTTCCTTCCTTCCTTCCTTTAATGTGTTTTTTGCTAATTTATAATTAAACTCTTTTCCAGTGTTGTAATTCCTTTCACTACCCTCAGATACATCAGAACATTGATCAGGTCTTTGTTCCTTTCTCTGGACATATGTTTCTAGAACCCCCAACTCTTACTCTAGTTTGCACAAGATTCTCTGTGGGCCTTGGTGCAGCTGTTGACCTGGGTGCCCTCTGTGTCCTCTGGGAGTTCCACCCGCTTCCCTGCTATCCTGGTTCTCCTGTTTCCTGGAATCCATCTCCTCTTTTCTCATGATTCATGCCCGTGTTTAGTTAGAGCGCATTGTCCAATAGCTTCTGGTAAAAGGAGGCATCTGAGGTTAAATGTTTTGACATTCATTAGAAAAGTTGGGAGTCACTAAGTTAAAAGTCTGGGGTCCTGACATGCCTCTTACACAGACTTTCAGCTAGTCTCTAATTTTATTTCTTCCAATTTCTTCACCCTTCGAAGTTTCTGCTGCCTCCAGACTTGCAGTGTGAGCTGGCTTACCTCTTGGCCTCTTTTCTCTGCAGGCTTTCTAATATTTTTAATATTTCCATCATTCAGGGTTTTGCTGACCTCTTTTTCCTCAGAGAGCTTTGGTGACAGTTGACACCTTTCCAACACTATTCCATCAGGTTTCTTTATCCAAAAAAAGTACAAAACTTATAGTATGCTATTAGGTACTCAGTTGAAAATCTTTATACCTATAAAATATATTTCTAGTCCATTTACTGTCATCAAAATTGGGGACTGAGGCTGACTCGGTGGTAGAACACTTGCTTCCCATGAGTGAGTTAAAGCCTAGTGGTTCCAAAAAGAGAAAAATCCTAGAATGGAATTTAATTGTTTAAAATTTTATATTTATTCATTTATTTAGCTGTGACAGGGATGGAACCAAGAACCATACATACTGGGCAAAAGCTCTACCACTTGAGCGGTACCCCAGCCCTGAAATTTTTAATATTTTGAGTGGAAAACATTCATTCTCTTCCTTAATGAGTTCTGATCTGACTCTGGATTTGTTTTCCTCACTTGCCTATCTTTATTGTAGACTCTATGCCAGACTAACCAGACCTCTGGTAGCCCAGAATGTTTTCATTGCTTGTATGGGAAAAGGAGGAGACCAAGAGCCYAATAATGACATAAAAGGGAAGGCTTAATTTTAAATTAAAAAAAAAAAAAGATTTGCTTTGACTTTATTTGTGTTGCCATTTTTATAATCTAGACATTCGGATGTTAGTTAAGAATTCATGTTGAAGTCTAGGTATAAACACTGATGTGGATGAATCACTCTTTCATAATTACCATTTGAGCTATGCATTTTTGAAGACTATACTATTGTTACTCCCCATTAATTAATTTACTTTGGATTTGTTCTCCCAATGTTTCTGAATACTTGATTATTTCCTCCTCTAATTTAGATGATTTTCCTTGTCTAATTGCTATTAAAGACAGGACAATATAGGTACAGGTAGTTTTCTAAAGCAGTGCTTTTCAATTTTAATATAAGTCAGTTAACCTGAGGATCTTGTTAAAATGCAGATTGTGAGGATGGGGCCTGACAGTCTGCATTTCTATCTAACAAGCTCCCAAGATGCTCATGTTACTCATCCTTCTGACCACACTTAATTGAATGGCAAAGACCTAAATGGATGTGAAAGAGCAGCGACCCCTTCAGAATATAGATTGTTTTCAAATATCTACAACCCTTAGGCTTCTGGAATTCAGAAGCTTACTGGATGTAACTAAGTACATCAAATAGTGCAAGATTTATTGCTTTTTTAAATTTTAAAAATAATTCATATTTAAAATATTTTATATTTGGGTGTCACTATTTAGAAGTGATTCTGTTGCTATACTTTTATTGGTGTGTTTAAATTTTATGTAATTAACGTATAAACTTTTTCTTCTAGTGTCTTTGAAGAAAAATATACTTTATCTGCTAAACTTTTATTTGCAACATGCAGGGAAACATACAACTCTTATCTATAGCTGTTAGGATTTTATATATATATATATATATAAAATATATGTATATATATATATATATATATATATATACATACATACACCCACACACACATCGTTTTTATGCTAGACAAATAAAACCACATATACACAAATTAATAACTAATTTAATTTTAATGTTTGTTTCTGTGTAATTAAATGTTAGCAACGAAAGAAGATTAATGATTTTCTTTCTTTTTTAAAAATAGCTCAATCACTAAAAGAATTTGCAAGGCTACTTATTGCAGTAGAAGAAGAAAGGCGAAGATTGGTAAGTCTGTTTCTACTTCTTAATGATATCACTTTGTTTCAGCATATTAAAATATGAGTAGATTTCCTGAATTAGCTATGCTAGACCTTATAATTTGATATGRGTACTAAATGCTGCATGTATTCGTGAAAAGATTTGTGACTGTAATTATCAAATATTGCTAGTAGATAATATTTGCCCTATTTATTTCATTTGTTGAACACATGTAAGTTGTCTTTATTTGCTTGCCATTTATAATTGCTCCAAGAATTAAAAATATCGAACAAACTGCCACTAAGAAACAGATTCTAATGCAGCAAATGTTTGCAGGTTATATTATAGTAACCTTAGTTTTATGATAAAGACATGTTTCAAGCATTAAAAGCAGTTCATGGAAGGGGCAACTAATTTTGTCAGCTTGTTAGTAGAAGGCTTTCTTGAAAGGGTGACATTTGAGTTAGGTTGTGAAGGTGGAGAGGATTTTGCTAACTGAGAATAATGGGGAAAGCTTTCCAAGTGATAGATTAACTTATTATTGTGAAATATCAGGGCAGAATTATTGGTAATACATTCATCTCTTCAGAATGCAATTTTGGACTCATTGTATTCACATTTTTGTTTTAGTACCTCTCTATGACCCATTGTTTTCATCTGTAATGTGGAAAGAATAACAGTGTGTATTCATTTGTTTTAAAGCATTTATCACAGCACCTGGAACTTACTAAACATGTTCAGTTGGTGATGCTGCTACTGATTGTCAGTTAGAGTGAGGGTTAAAGACTTGTTTACACCTTCAGTCATCTTTGATGTTGTTGGATGATATACACACATAATACTCAAGTGTGGATTAAATATCCTAGGAATGTGGTGCCATTTTGCTAAATGGATAAAAGGAGAGTGCCTGTAAGGGGTCCTTGACTCACAGGGAGCATTGCCTCAGCTGTAGAAGGATAACACTGTGGGCACGGCAGTCATATAAATGAACTTGGACAGGGGCCCCAAGATAGGAAAAAGTACTTGGAATCAGTTAATGGTTCTTAGAAGGGTTTAATAGAAGGTTGATTGAGAGTTGTAACCAGATGGAGGCTAGACCAAGACGTTTTGATGTTTACTATAGGCAGTGAGAGAATTGCCAGAAATTTTTGAAGAGAATAATGACAAGATCATAATGGATTCAGGAGAGATTAACTTGGCAGGCATGTGATTATTAGATAAGGCAGGGGAGAAATGTCCTGGTGTATTGAGGTGGTTGGGGGTTCCCATATTTTTTAGGAAGCATTAGAATACCATGAGTCTTGTCCCAGTGTCTAAGAGACAGTCATATAATGTAACTTATCTAAGGTTTATATATTTTCAGGTCAGAGAATGATATTCTGCGGGGATGCGTTTGATTTGAGGTACGAAGCCTAAAAAAGACACTGTCTTAAGTGCTTTAAGCATGCACACACTCTAGCTCTATGAGCTGCACAGAAATCCAGCTTCCACAGGGAGACCTGGGTAGTATGTGCCCTTGTGGCCCAGAAGAGGTGCTGATGACAGAAACGGGAAAGAGTAGTTACAGAGATGTGAAAATTAARTTGGAAGTGGTGCAGAAGCCAAGGAATATACAGCTCTCAGTGGGTAAAGCTATGTTTCAAATCCTGTGAAAATGGCTCAGAACAATAAACCAAATAGCATGGGTTATAATTTTTAAATATTGAAAAATATCAGAAGGTTTTGTAGGCTGTGTGGGGAAAGAAGACCATGGGAATGTTCCCATAGCACCAAGGAGGCTTTCATGGGCACGAGGGGCCAACCTCTTCCTCTGAAATGGGAGAAAAAGAGGGGATTGATGAAAACCTCATAGAAATTTGGAACAGTAAACTGCTAGATTGGACAGGTGGAGAGTAGCTGAGGAAGGAGTGGGTGTCTGCTGTGACAAGAGTTTGTAGAAAGTTWTCAACAGTCAGAGGCTGAGAGAAGAGTAAAAGGATGGCTAGTCAGTAAGTAACAAAAAGACAAAAAAAAATAAATAAATGAAAAATTAAAAAAAAAGAGCCACTAAAGTTAGACATTGTAAATGTGTTCAGAAAAGACCAGTTACCATGTTGTCTTGGGTTTTTCTGATGATATGCTCACAATGCTAGTCTGTGAGCAGTAAGTATAGTTGGGAGGTCAGATTCAAGTTAATAGTTGGCATAAAAGACATGGTCCTGGATAAGGGACTTGGATTACTGTAATATAAAATTTGGGCCTGGTTGATGACAGGAATTGTTGAAGCAGAAGGGTACTGATAGATTTCAAAAGCAAAGGGGGCAATCATGGCTACTTCCTTATGCTGAGGGTTTATGGAACAAAATGAGAGAAAGAGAGAAGCCAGAGGAATTTGGACTCAAGAGTGGGAGTATAACTGTGGAGCTGGTCCAGATAGTGCTGAGGGCAGATGTGGCTGACCTGGGTTATGGGCCTTAGGAATGGAGAAGGCTCAGCTGAGAGACCAGGGTGTGATGACAGGGTAAAGGACAGGGKTTAGGTAGAGGAAATGGTTGAGGGATACAGAGTTACTTCAGCCTTGGAGACAAAGATTGCCTCAGGACTTAGTGTCCAAGAGGTCTTCATTTCTGCCKTCCACCCTGTATCTGATGTTGGGGCAAGGGAGAAATTCTACTTCATGAATGAAGTCAAACTGTGGGTTTTGATTGTTTTAATTGCTGTTGTTTCTAAAGTTCTAAGATAAAAAGTGTACAGAGTGACAAAAAAAATCTCTATAAGATAAAAGCACATCAGAATATATTAGCAATAGTAACAAAAACAGCATGGTACTGGTACCAAAACAGGCGGGTGGACCAATGGTACAGAATAGAGGACACAGAAACCAATCCACAAAACTACAACTATCTTATATTTGATAAAGGGGC